TTCCACTCTCCACACGGCCGCTGCCCCGGACCGTGACAGTACGACGCGACCACAAGATGGACCCAGCAGCGCTTAACCCGTCCAAGGAGCTACGGGAGAATCTAATCGATGCCACACAGGAGCTCATCGACCTGTGGCTGGAAAGCCCGGATGGCACGTCCCAGCGCGCTATAGAGAGGCGGCTACAGCGTCTGGTGACCGGTCTCCCATGGCTTCTGGGCTCGCTTTGTTCATGGGAGCGGGAGTTCCTCCTTTTGGACCTCGGACTTCACCCCCCGTCTGCTTTTACTTTCGAGCAGCCCGAGGCGGTGAGCGAGCGACATGTTCTGGCTTCCCCAGTTTCCGGGACTTTGTTTTCTGGGGCTATTCAGAGCGGGTTGGGAGACTGTATGGATCGCTTACCCACCTTCGTGGTGACTGATCCTTCCCAAGTGGGCGTGTACAGACCCTCTGCAAGACTAACAGACTGTGTCTCTGCCACTCCTTCTGAGCCAGGACTCTATCACCATTCTCCGGCTCAGTTCTGTGTCCAGCCACAAGCTTCCCAGTCTGTAGCTCAACCATTAGCCTCCCTTAAGCCACAATTTTCACACTGTTTTTCCACCGCCGTTTCTGAGCAGGGAGACAAACTGTTACATTACGGACCTGTTCCTCAACAGCTGGCAACATTAGTGACTGTTACTCACTCCGGGGCTTCCCCAGAGGCAGGGTTGCTGCCCTCAGCTTACTCTGGACCCCTGGTGGCCAAGATGCCAGCTGTGAACTGCACCGGGCTGTCACTGCCTGAGCAGGGTCAGTGCTCTGCGCAGCTGCAGCCCTCCGTATGTGTGCCAGAGGCCCACGTGCCTACTGGTTTTGTTTCACATGTGCCAGAGGCCCACGTGCCTACTGGTTTTGTTTCACATGTGCCAGAGGCCCACGTGCCTACTGGTTTTGTTTCATGTGTGCCAGAGGCCCACGTGCCTACTGGCTTTGTTTCATGTGTGCCGGGGGCCCCGGTGCCCACTGGTTCTGCGGCTGTTTTCGCTGGGGGGCCCGAGGAGCCCGTCCAGCCTCCTGCTTCGCCTGCTGGGGGGCCGAGGAGCCCGTCCAGCCTCCTGCTTCGCCTGCTGGGGGGCCCGAGGATCCCGTCCGGCCACCTGTGGCTGCTTCTCCACCTGTGGCTGCTTCTCCACCTGTGGCTGCAGCGCCGCCTCCTGCAGTATCATCACCTGCAGTGCTACCACCTGCTACTGCCACGCCTCAGCCTGAAGCTTCAGCCTCGCCTGGTTCTGGTCCAGCTTCATCCTCACCTGGCCCAGCTTCAGCTTCAGCGTCTGCTTCGCCTAGCCCAGCTTCAGCTACAGCTTCATCCACGCCTGGCCCGGCTTCATCCACGCCTGGCCCGGCTTCATCCTCGCCTGATTCTGGTCCAGCTTCATCCTCACCTGGCCCAGCTTCAGCTACAGCGTCAGCTTCGCCTGGCCCAGCTTCAGCTGCAGCTTCTTCATCGCCTGGCCCGGTTTCATCCTTGCCTGGCCCGGTTTCATCCTCGCCTGGCCCGGTTTCATCCTCGCCTGGCCCGGTTTCATCTTCATCTTCGCCTGGCCCGGTTTCATCTTCATCTTCGTCTGGTCCGGCTTCATCTTCATCTTCGTCTGGTCCATCATCAGCATCATCAGCATCGTCTGGTCCATCATCAGCATCATCAGCATCGTCTGGTCCAGCCTCCGTGTCTGCATCGTCGCCTGGTCCAGCCTCCGTGTCTGCATCGTCGTCTGGTCCAGCCTCCGTGTCTGCACCCTCGTCTGGTCCAGCCTCCGTGTCTGCACCCTCGTCTGGTCCAGCCTCCGTGTCTGCACCCTCATCTGGTCCAGCCTTCGTGTCTGCATCATCATCTCTGCCTGCTGCGGTCCCGGCTTCCGTGCCCTCAGCCGCGCCTGGCCCAGCCTCGTTTGGGTCTGGAGCTAAACGGCCGTTTTCTGGACCGCTGGCTAGGCTACTGGCCGAGCGCCGTCGCCTGACTGGCCGCCGTTGCCTTCCGCACGGCCGGCCCCCGGACCGCCATCGCCTGAGTGGCCGCCGTTGCCTTCCGCACGGCCGGCCCCGGACCGCCATCGCCTGTGTGGCCGCCGCTGCCTTCCGCACGGCCGGCCTCCTGAACTCTTTACGCGCCGCCGTTGCCTTCCGCACGGCCGGCCTCCTGAACTCTTTACGCGCCGCCGTTGCCTTCCGCACGGCCGGCCTCCTGAACTCTTTACGCGCCACCGCTGCCTTCTTCGTGGACGGCCTCCTGAACTGTGCTTTGGACTCTGCTCCCCTGTGGGTTTTGTGTTCATCTTTGTTTTGGGACTCTGGGGCCTCCGTCCGTGGTCGTGGTCCGGTCCCTCCGTCCTGGGCCCCCTGCCGCCCGCCCGGATCTGGTGGTGTGTTTCTGTGGCTGTCGGGGGCCAGCCCTTGAGGGGGGGTACTGTCATGGTCCTGCGACCATGACTCAGTGACTTTATGTTTATGTACTTATTATTATTACTTTCATTATTATTCATGGCTGTTTTGGGATGGTTTGTGTTTGGGATTTTAGACACTGGGTTCTGGGTTTGTGCTCCCTCTGTTGGTCCCTGGTGTTAGTGTTCCCCTGTCTCGTCAGGTTAATCAGGTCCAGCTGTTTCCCCCATCTGTGTGTGATTTCCCAGTGTCTCTTTGTGTATTTATAGCGTGTGATTTCCTCTGCTCCTCGTCGCGTCGTCTGTGTTCCTACCTGTGTTCATCCTCTGTGTTACCCTGCGTACTCTGCATCTACCCTGTGAAATCCTCTGCGTGCTCTCCCTGCTGTTCTCCCTTCGTGTTCAGGTTTGCCACTCCTTTGTGTAGTTTCACCCAGTTTAGTTCATCCGTAGTTCTGTTTTGCCATCTCCTCTTTATGTTTGTTATTATCAATAAATCACCCTCACACCTGAATAAGTGCTGCGCTTTGAGTCCTCCTTCCACTCTCCACACGGCCGCTGCCCCGGACCGTGACAGTAACAGAGTGGAAAGAAACCATAACATTTGGATTGTCTACATTAAAAGGAACTACTTCCTCTTCCACCTTTCATAGTCATGTGCGAAATACGGCTGTATAAATGTCTCGCAGCCCCTTGGCGTGTACAGCTGAGCGTAATTGGAGTCATGTGCGGACGTATTTTACCTCCACAAACAGCTGAGACGTGGTTTGCGATACATGTGGCAAAAAAGTGAGGTGTTGTGGCCATACTAGAGAGACATTCAAAAGGGCTGTTGGGGGGTGATAAATACATTTTACAGGGTTTATTTAAGGGATAAAATACGTTAAATGTCACCGTTATTATTGGCCGGCTCGGAAACAGCGGGGGTGTCCAAATTCAGAGGCTACTTCCACCTGAGGACCCGGCCTTCGCGGTCTAAAGAAAGCCGGGTAGTACGGCACGAGCTCCCTCGGTGGAGTGAAACTCAGCCGTCTGCTCCTTGCTATCTAAAATATAACTGGGCGCTTGCGTGAACTCTGGACTGTCTCACACTTTGTTTAATTAGTTTTCTGTTTGACGTTTATTCAGCTGTGTGAAAACCCCGGAGGAACCCTCCCGTTAAATTTTATTTAATCTCATAACTTTAATCTCAGCCAAACCGATTTACTCACAAACATATAAAACACCAAAAAGCCAAACAATAACATTTTTAAGTTATCAAAGTGACTTATATATCATGTTTAACCCGAGTAGCGAAATACCGCGGGGGTTTGAAGACGATGTGTCGGTCGGCTCAGATATTTGACGTTTACAGAGCTACATTTTCACCTCAAAATATGTTAAACGTTTTTTTGCGACCCAGAAAGAGAAATAAGAGTAATATTAAAACTAAGTAGCTGCCGTCATTGTTGGAAACTGGAATTGGCTGGGCTGCGCTATGAATTCTGCAATATGGTTTTTCAATTTTGTTGTCCGGTTGGAAAATCGGGAGAAATTCGGGAGAATGGTGGCTCTGGGAAATTTTCAGGATGGGCACTGAAATTTGGGATTCTCCCGGAAAAATCGGGAGGGTTGGCATGTATGGTTGTGGCAACATCACTAACCTTGTCAAACACCTCAGAGTAAATCATATCACAGAATATGACGAGCATATGTTGAGGCGAACTGAAGAGGAGGAGAGGGACAGGTGCTGCTAGGGCAAGACACACGTCTCTCACAGAGTCCTTTAGTGCTGCAGGCAGGCAAGGTGTTCAAATAGCCACAACTTCAGTTTTTTATTTCTATATGATGAACTCTGCAACAAGTAATCTGATGTCCTGTAATCATTATGATGCTATAATTTGAGATACAATAAATAAAATACGTTTTTGTACAAAGTATCGGTATCGGATCAGTATCGTCGATACCACCCTGAATATTACTTGGTATCGGATTGGAAAGGAAATCAGTGGTATCGCACATCACTACCAGATACTACTCTGGAAAGATGTGTGAGAAGCTTAATATAGATAGAATCTTCCTGGCAGCTGTGACTGGTGGCATAACAGGAACAGTAGTGCTGACCCTGGTTATTGTATTCATTATCAGAAGACCACAGTAACTTTCACTTGAGTGGATGACATTTTCTCTGCATTTGTTCATTAATGAAATCAAAACTGTCATCAGTACTGGAGTGTAATGTAGCTGAAACTTTAACTTTGAAATGTAAATTTGTTATATTAGGGCTCATTTGGGAGGGAGATGGATTGTGAATGTTTCCACCTGCAAAGATTATTGTATCACATAAACCTTTCCATTGATTTTTGAAATAACAAGGACCTTCTATTAGGCATCAGGATTAGAAGCAATATAAGGACCAGGAGTAAATTGAGCCACTCCACTCAAAGGTGATGTCCCAACATAACATTATAAAAACAATGATTTGTCTATTTGTATGTGACAGTGATTTTTTTTAAAGGAAAATGTAAGGTTGGAATTCAATTTCACAACAAAAAAAGAATGTTATTTATTTTTATTTGAACAGATTTCAGATACATACAGTGGCCACACAGGGATAGTATACAGGTTATAGTTCACGCCAAACATAAATTTAAATATACAGTAATTCATCTTAAATACAACCATTAAACAAGTCCGGACTTGTTAAAGCATTTACTTTGTTCTATGCACAGTGAGCACTTGCACTCTTGGTCTACTTAATATCCAAAATCCAGTTAAGTCGAAGATGTACACAGTTAGTTATCTTTAATTTTACTTGGAATGGAAGAAAACAAATGATTTTTGCATCTACAAAGATAACTGACAAAATCTACCAACCTTAGCTAATAATAATAGCAAGAAGAATAGCTAGAAGTACTATGTGTCATGTACAAATATCATCGGAACCTTAGCGCTAATCATTGACAACAATGCTCTATTTAAAGGTATAGTATGCTACATTTTTTGGTTATTGCTAGCAAACACAATTTTCAAACTCACTACCAGATTCACTTCAGCCAAAGACAGTATAAAAGATGTTCAATGTTACCCGCTGGTTCCTGAAATCTCATTTGAAGCTTTAAGATAATTCTTTTGAGTGGCATTTTGGTGTTTTGAAACCTGATGTGAAGAGTGAAGGGTAGAACTGACCATGAAACTTGTGTTGATGTAGATATCGTGGGAAATTCTCTTTTCTGGCAAGAAGAATGACCTAGATTTCCAAGATGACTGGAAACGAGTCACTGAAACCCTAACCCTTGCCATTCAGGCTGTCATTTATGTCAAGGACGGCATTTAGTAATGACTGCAAACAAAAGTATAAGACAAGCCTCACTTTTACATATGGCAGGTACAGCCATGTTTTACACTATCTGTCAATGCAGCTGAAGTGCATTCTTCGTCCTGTTTGCTGTTATTGTCCTGTATATGTGTTACAGTCAAGAAACATCAGTTACATGGCAAAATAAGAATAAATAAGAAAGGCAGGGTCTCTGGAGATAAAGACACTGTCATGCACTTCTAATTGGTCATAAATAATAACTAGACAGGGGTTCTATTGCTTTTTAGGAAAACTACATATAACTATAGATAATGATATGATTATAAACAACATTTAGTTAAATCTCCTTAAACAACGCACTGTAAATGTCAATGAACTACATACTAACTTAATGCTAACTGTATTCTCCTGTAGCGGGGTAGTTGGACAGGCGAGTTGTTAGTTCAGGATTCACAGTCTGAAAAGCAAAAAAATAAAACTTTTAAGACTCAACTTTAATTCACAAAAGATCATTTCTGCTTCCATGTGGTGAAGAAGTAATTAATGCTGACCATATGGGTACTATAACTGTTTGACACGAGAGCCTCGTGAAAAACAGCACAACATTCAAATTGTGATCACAAAACCAGCAGAAAACAAGTATTCATATTGTTTCAACAGGTTCAGTGTGACCATGGTTTAATAACTCATTTTATTCAGTTTGGGTTACCCAGAAATCAAAATGTCAATTTCTGCTGCTTAAAAAAAAGCAAAACCTTGAGAAATGTGTCTTTTCCACACTGTAGATAAAGCAAATAAACAGGGTTCATAACTTTGGCAATCCATGAAATGTTTATCATCCAACATAATCAAGGCAAAATTACAATTTCTTTCTTGGCTAAATTGTTGCAATTATTTGTAATTACCTTATCCCTTATCCCTAAACATGATATCTGCTAAACACCAACGTTATCATTTTAAGCATGCTAGTATGTTGATATTACACAACCTATGCCGTTCCACCGGAGTACAAGTGCAACCCTGCTACTCAGCCTTATTATAGATTACTTTGTAAACACAAAACAACTTGTATTTGTGTGGTGGTTTACAGCAGCCATCAACAGTTAATAGATATAACCCTGAAAATGCGAGTTTAGTTACTGAAGGATCTCTCATCACTCAGGATTGATCAGTTCAGTGGGCTACCAAGTTTCAAGATAGAAATTTGGCATTATTAAAGGAATATTGTTAAGGACAATAGATAGAACTGACCTACATCTTCAGTGGTCTTTTGTGTACGTAGTTGAAGTGAATTTCTTTGTGCTGTCATTTCCTTTTGATTTTCCCTGAGGGAAGAGACCAGAAGTATTATCAACCATGTTTCTATCACTTTATCAGGCAATTCTGTATGTATCTCATTGTTGTGCTTACAGTTATGAGCTTGAACAGTTCCTCTCTGACCTGATAGTAACAATGTAGACAAATTGTTTAATACATTAAGTACATGGCAAATACTAAACACTTTCTTCTAACCATCAATTTTTTTTTTATAAATATATCTAGAGTGATATCTGTTCCACTAAAATGATTAAACCTACCTTCTGCTCTGCAAAACACCCTGTGATCAAAATAAAAAAACCCTGGAAGAGAGAAAAAATACGTAACATGTCTAAAAAGACACAATGGTTTTCCTTTTGAATCAGGTTTGCAGTTTTTATCAGCAGAGACAAGAGTTTAAGGGAGTTATATGCCAATGGGAAAGTTAGATCTGTGCATTGCCATTGAATGAAGTTTTCTGATCATCATCAGAAACTTGGATATTGATAATTAACTCAACTTTAATACATGGCTTTATTTTTACTTTTAAACAATGAAATAATGAATGTTTTAAAATATGTTACTTCTACAATTGATCAACAATGAAAAGCAAAAAAATATAACTTTTAAAGAAAAAGAATTATAAAAAAAAGACAATTATAATTTATAAACTATAATAGAGGGAAATGGAGATTTGTCCATTGTTGATTTTCTTATTCATATTTGTGAATGTTTTAGATCATCAAATACATTTTTTGAAATAATTATTACCTAAATTTGCTTGGTATGTGCTAACTGTGCATTCAAATTACCTGGAAGGTATTAAGGATGGTGAAAATGTAGGTGATAACATTATAGATGGGGCTATCAGACATGATGAGTTGAATGAAGCCAACAATCCATGTCACTCCAAAGACAGGTGTTAGAACAATCACCACTTTGAGGATGCCTTTTGCCGTTTCCTTGTCATCGGCCTTGCTGCTGTCAGGGACTGAGGTCTTCATCAGTGTAACGATGACAACAATCATGGAAAAGAGATTTGCCAAAACAATGGTTCCCACAGGCAGGAGAAAAGCATGCATGGAGCCAACCAAGAGTTTTACATAAACTAGCCAGCATGTTTTGCTGTCGTAGTAGTCCTGGTTGGTGTATTTGCAGTACACATAGCTGGATCCCACCATTAGGATTGGGCAAACATAGCCTAAAATGCTGGAGAGGAACATGAAAACTCTTTTCCTCAGTGGGCTGAAGACAAAGATGAGCTGGTGGACAAGCATGATGCTCAGGCACAGCATCCAGCAGAACATAGCCAAGAAAAAGAGGTGTTTGCATATGGTCAGTACTAGACACCAGCTGTCAGTTAAAGTCTTGGGATTGCTAGAAGCCAAGAAACTGCAATCTGCAAGCAAGAGGAATGTGGCAATGTTCACTATAGCTGTGTGCCGAAAATGAGAAAGGTTAGTCTTGACCACAGCTGACCACACCAGAGATTCAATGATGAGAAAGATCACCAAGGAGCAAATGGACACACCAAGGCCAATATTTGAAATAAGTTCAAGGATAGGATCTTGTTTTCCTCCATCACCCTTGGACATTAGGACAGAGAATGCAGTTAGGTGGTTGCACTCACATATTGTGTGGTTTTTATCAGAAATGCTGATATTGCATCCTTCATCTGACCATTGATTCCTTGTGGTGTTCCAGAAGACACAGTGAGGTTGAGTGGGGTTGGTTTTCCCACTGGGGAAGTCCAGTCTAATTTGTATAGTTGAATCACTATTATTGTCCAGTGTGGCTGATAATATGAGGTCGGTAAGTTCAGGTTGTATGCCATTAAAGCTGTTATTTAATTTACTCATTAGATTTTTCACAGCTACAGTTTTCAGTATTCCATTGGTCTTGTTCATATTCACACCAATGTCAAACACAGACACAGCACAGTCATTACTTCGACAGAATGTAAGGTCTAGATTTGTACTGTTGATTCCGTCGCTCTGGTTGACCTTAATGTTCTTCACTAGACCTTCCACAGACTCTAGGTAGTTTGATGACATTTTATAACGAATTGTGTCATTTACCCCACTCCAGGTGCCATTCAACATATTGCTTGCTGCACTAACAAAATCCTGAAAGACAGTAAAATAGAAAATAAACTTAAAAAATGTATTTGACTGAACAGTGACTTTTCACACTTTCTCAGTTGATGCTAGGACCCCTATTCAGGCGTAATCCGCTTGGGTGTACAGTCAAGGATCTTTAAGTACTGCATGGTCTGTTGTTGAAATTTAAAGTGGAAGAGAAACTACATGTATAAAGGGTCATTTCCACTACAGAGCCCTGTTTTGGTTAGTTGTTGCTAATAGACTTACATCATTTATGTTAGCTAATTAGTAACAGAACAAGTAACATGTTTAGAAAGAGTTATATGTTGCTGTATTGACAGTTAGCTGCATCACAGAGTCGTGAAGGACATTATTTTAGCAATTCTTTTGTTATTCTATTATTTCTTAAAGGTCTTACTGTAGATTAAAGAAAATGTAACATATTTAAACTGATGAAACTGATAATCTGCCATATTAATCCATATTATACAGTTGGTGGACATTTTTTCCTGCAGAATAGGTACTTGTACATTTTTATTGACTTATTTCCATTGTGTTGTATTATTGGTATTATTCCTCTAACTATCTTGACATGACATGAGTAGTAGAATGTAGAATGAGTATATGTTGAGGATTATTTGAATTTCTACTTCTAAAATGAAGTCTGAACTTTTATATTCAGAACTATGTATGTATAACAGAAAAGGTAGATGTGCTTACAGGAAAGATATCCTCTCCCAACACAGTTGTGTTTGATGCGTCGGCCATCATATTTAGAACACCGATGGAGGCGCTAATGTCAGCAATACTTTCACCAGATCCAGAACTTAATGTAGAGCTGTTCTTTAGCCCTTCAAATATATTCTTGGCCACCTCCGTGGTGGCCCCTAGTCCCTTCAGGAAGGCCTAGATAAAGGAATTAGTGTGTAAAGAAAAGAAAAATCCTATAATTCTATTTTATAGTTCACAACAGTAAGCACAACAGACACTTTATTTTAAAGTCTTGACATACTTTTACATTTGGATTTGTATGGGTTACATGCAAAACATTAAACAAAGCAGTAGTTTTACATATGCAATATGCTACGCTGTGTAATTGAAATCGCTCCAGATTTGACCATACTCCTTCTAAATGGTATGATCTATATAGCTTAGTTTTGGAGTTTATTAAATTTTACTTATAATGTTGGGTGAAAATGGTAACAAATTGCAACAAAAACCTCTTCGTGATTAGTTGCCAGCAGATATCTGTAGTTTACATGAAAAATGCCGACTTGTCTGTCAAACACTCACCATTTTATTCTCTTAGTCGTAGTGACAGTATGATGCAAACAGTAAACTGAAGACTGAGTTGAAATGTATTGGTTGCATTAGTAAGGAATACTTTATCAGTTTCTGGTTTGTGTAAGTGTATTTGGAGCCAAGTTAGCATCTATTCTGTAAACCACTGGTTATTGTGGGAACCTGCTGGTGACTAAAGCAATTCACTCTAGCTTCCGTCAGCAAACTTCCAGTTACTACTTAATACTGGAATACACTTTTTCCGTAGCAACTAGTGGTCACCGACCAGTCTCTAGGCCTGTGTGACTGAGACCTAGCCTCAGCAGAGAGCTGAGAGTATGAACTTTAAAGTCAAGGTGAACTAAGATGAAAATTTACAAACCTTTATCATTGCAGTTTCAGAAACTAAAAATACTGAAACACATACACAAATGCAAACGAGAGCAAACAAAAACGTATTATTGTAATGACAAATAAAGACACACTCACTTCAGCTGCATTTGAAATTTTGTTCAATTGTTCACTGATGCAGCTTGAGAACACTGCCTGCCAGGCTGGGCCGTTACAAGGTCGGGACTTATAGCCAACCGTGCCTGCTGGGCATGTTCGAATAATCACTGTGTCTCCAGCTGGGGTTTTTGGCCATGTATCTTTATCCAGTAGCTCCTCTTTACAAAATGGCTTCCCAGCTTAATAATAATAAAAAAAAAACATTAGGAAAAAGAAAATAATATTATTAATTATATTTATATCATTAGCTGGTGCAGCATAGGCCTTTGCAAACATATGCAATTCTAAAGCCTGAGAATATGTCATTATACTACACATGAAATTTACAATAAACAGATAAAAGTAGACCCATTATACATTTCAGGCATATATTGCTGAATATTGGGTAGCCAGTCAGTTGAAAGTTGGCTTAAAAGAAAGGTGGTATTATTGGAACTGTTTTTCAGACAAGATTGCACCAGCCCCTGGCATAATAGTAGAATAGAAATCTGGAGCTGGAATGAGCATAATAAGGCCCCTTTAAACGTATTTAAAATAATAGACAATTTAAAGAATCCTTACCATAGATAACTGGGATGTTCAATTGTGCACTTTTAATTTGACCGATTACATTCTTAAAACTGATATTAACATATGGTTCAATCGTTTGTTTGCAGAAGATGGCAGGATTGAATGTGTAGTTGACGTAACTGCTTGAAGCTGTAACAGAAGATGACATTTTTTTTAAGTGAATAAAGATTTTGTGCAGTAAGCTTTACACATATTTTGCATTACTGATTAATCTGAGTGTTTTTAATGACATAAATAAACAACAACAACAAAAAAAAAAACTATGTATTTGTTTCTGTTAGAATACTGAAAATTCAAGGAAAAAATCTTACTTGTCATTTTTACATCAGGAGACACTTTACCATTGTAGCCCCACGAAATGGCATAGGTTGTATTGCTTGCTGGGATTATGGCACTGACGGTAATGCTTACACTTTCCTGATTTTCTGAACAGTCCACAGTAAGAGGCATGCTACTCAGGGTAATTGTATCAGGTAGGAGGGCCACACTCAGATTAGTCCTGCCTATGTGCCTGATTGACCCAATGGTAAATCCACACTCATATGTGCCTGCAGGGAACATAAGACAGTTACAATTATAATGGAGGGTTGGCCCTTTACACATTAATTGACATTTCAGTTAACAACACATGCAGGAAATGACAGGAGCTGAGCCACCAGTTGCCATATTACTGACCATAGTGGAAACAGCGCTGAGAGTATAAACAATATATGTCAAAAATATTACAATGCAAGTTTATAAAAAATCAGATTCTTATTTGTTATGAACAGGTTCAGAGCAGAGCTGATCAAACAGTTTAAATCCATTGTGCCATTGTGCTACCCACACAAAGGATCAAACCAGTTTTTTTGACCTGTCCCCTCATCCCTGTTGAAAATCAATAAAATATCGATCACAAAAAAGAAAATAAATATTCAAACCTGTTCAGAGGAAGTGCTTCACAGGATTAATTCATTATACTATCTTGTTAGTGTGAGTTTATAACTAAGTGTATTTTGTATACTGATTTCATATCAGAGATGTTTTATCTCTAATCAAGAAAAAAGTGTAAACACTTGCCTTCCCAAGTGCCTGTCACCTTGTTGAGGGTAACACCAATACAAGATTGGAAGGTATTTGTGCTACAGGTCTTATTCAGCTGGACCACACTGCCGTGGTTGAGCTCAAAGCGCTGATTCCCTGTGGTTAGATTCCAGCCTGCGCTGTCTGTGGCCTCCTCAAGTTTGCATGCAAGTTGTGGCGTGGACTGATAGCAAACTTGAGTCCCTGGGGCCTCTACAATGACCATTCCTGTGTTAAGATAATACATGGAAATATAAATTATAAAAATGCTAAAAAGGTCACTTTAAACTTATCCAACTTTAAATTTAGCCAACAACATTGTTTTGGAACATTTATGAACATTTATTTTATTCATACTGAATGGTTAGAATAGATAATGTCACAGTTCTGGGTCATTTTGACCCAGCATTTTTTGTTTTTTATATTCTGGTGTTTATCTGTATTATGATTTATGTTCCGATTCTTGGCTGTGGCTCAGGTGGTAGAGCAGATCAGCTACTGATTGGAAGGTTTGTGGTTGGAGTCCTGGCTTCCCCAGTCTGCATGCCAAATATCCTTGGGCAAGTTACTAACCCCAAGTTGCTCTCCGATGCATTCATCAGAGTGTGAATGTTGGTTAAATTGCACTTGATCTTAGAAGTGATTGTATGAATGGTGTGAATGAGGCATGTTGTATGCAGCGCTTTAAGTACTCAATAGCCCTAATTTCACCCAGCTGTCTCCCTCCTGTTTTTCATTCCCTGATTACTATGCCATTTATTTAAACCCTGTATTTGCCTTTGTCGCGTTGTACCCTCTAAATGCTGTGTGTTTGTGTTCCAGCTCCTTTGTTCTGAGTTGAGTTTTGTTTTGCTTTTGTGACTTTTATTTTATGAGGTTTTTCCAGCAATAAAAGCTGTGTTTTGAGTTCCAGTCCCATCGTTGAGTGTCCTGCATTTTGGGTCCTTTTTTTCCTTCCTGCCTGCACACAGCCTATCATGACAGATAAATTGTAATAACCATGCATTAGTGAAAACTAAAATTAATTGGCCTTGAAGACAAATCATGGGGATATGGTAAGCTAATGTTACTGCAGCTAAATTGGTATGGTTAAATATATGTGGGCATAATATTTTGTTTTGTTTTGTTTTTCCAATTTTTTCACATGTAGTTTTATTGATTCTGAAAAGACAGATCGACATATTTGACATTACTGGAATTAACTGAAGAACTCAAACATTTTATAGACAATAAAGAGTGTGCAGTTGGAATACCTCTATCTAGGGATTGAGAGTAACGAAGTTTCTATTCTCTGTATGTCCTGTACATGTGGCAGAATTGACAATAAAGTTGACTTTGACTTTGACTCTAGATCTCAAAATGCTTTTGACACAATATATTATTAAACAAACTGGAAAAGTGTGGTATTAGATAGTTTGTGCTGAATTGGGTGATGAGACAGCAATTTGTAGATATAAATGAATACAAATCAACCTGCATGGATATACAATCTGGAGTTCCTCAAGGTCCGGTGCTAGGCCCGAAACATAAAATATTCATATGACATATGAGTCTCAAAAATAATAAAATGTTTAAGACTCATGCTACGTGTTCTCACTTTGTTGCACTTGTGGAAATATATGTTTTTCAGTGAGAGTTTACAGCAGCTTTGCTGAATGGTAAATGGCCTGTATTTGTAAAGCGCTTTACTAGTCCCTAATCAATCAATCAATCAATCTTTATTTATAAAGCACTTTTCATACAAAAAAAATGTAGCACAAAGTGCTTTACATAGTTAAAAGCAGCCCACCCCACCCTCCAACTCACTCCCCACACTCTCATTAACATAAATGATGTGAATACACACATATCCCCCCCCCCACACACACACACACACACACACACGCACACACTTAAAGAGTAAAAATTGGGCTGGGCTCGCATGAGCCAAGTGAGGAAACACTATAACAGGGAGCCGTCTGCACCGGGAGCCGGTCACAGACCGCAGCCTCCAGGCTGGGCACACAGCAGGAGGGAGGCCAAGGAGCCCCCCAGCCAGGCTGAGAGGACCCCCAGAAACCCAGCAGCCACAGTCGATCACAGCCCCGGTGCAGAGAGCGCCCTCTGAGGAAATATGACACAATAGGATATATACAGGGTAAAATGATATATACAGGGTAAAATGATAAAATAAATAAGAACAGGATACAATATAAATATAAATATAAATAGAGTAAGAAGATTAAAAAATGAATAAGAATAAAATCAATAAATATTAGGTAAAGTCTAAATTAATAATAGAATAACAGGATAGAATAAATAAGCATAAAATAAATAAACGTTAGGTGAAAGCTAAATTAAAAAGGTGGGTCTTGAGCCTGTTCTTAAAAACATGTACGTTCTCTGCGGCCCTGAGCTCCTCCGGCAGGCTGTTCCACAGACGAGGACCATACCACTGAAAAGCTGCCTCTCCGTGAGTATGTGTCCTGACTTTAGGGACAGTCAAAAGGCCAGTACCAGAGGACCTCAGGGTCCGCGAGGGTTCATACGGTAAAAGCAGATCTGAGAGATAAGAAGGCCCAAGACCATTAAGACATTTAAAAACCAATAAAAGAACTTTAAAATCGATCCTGAAACACACGGGGAGCCAGTGCAGCGATTCTAAAACCGGTGTAATGTGGGCCCGCCCTCTGGTCTTCGTCAGCACACGAGCTGCCGAGTTTTGCAAAAGTTGTAAAGTTGAAATATTCTTCTTAGGAAGACCAGAGAGCAGGGCATTACAGTAATCAATGCGACTGGTAATAAAAGCATGCATCAGCATCTCCGTGTTTGCCCGAGAGAGAATTGGACGGACTCTGGCTATATTTTTTAGATGATAAAATCCAATTTTGGTTACATGTTTAACATGTGGGATAAAACCAAGCTCAGAGTCAAAAATAACACCCAGGTTTTTCACTTGTAGCGAAGGACATAGTGAAAATGCCTCTAATTTAGACAAGAGTTTCTCTCTCTGAGCCTCCGGACCGACGATTAAAACTTCAGTCTTGTCCTGGTTAAGCTGTAAAAAGTTTTCTGCCATCCAAGGACCTTAAAGCGCTTTACACATTCAGTCATCCACCCATTCACACAAACATTCACACACTGTTAATTAAAAAAAGAAGTGAGTAAATTTGGCTTGATATGAAAACTTTATGTAGCCCTGGCTATATAAATAGGTCATTTATTTAAATAGTTCATTTATATTGATAGTTAAATGCAAATGTTCACTGTGTTCAATAATGTGTATACAAATGCCTGTAAGGTATGTGATGTGTGTCACTTAAATGCACAGCCTTTTTATTTGTATTTTGAGGTTTATGTCATTATTTTTGAAATGTTATTGATATGTACTACAGCTCCAGTGAACCCTGAAGTAGTCTCTGGTAGATGGGTGGGAGTAAGTGGGGAGTGCACTCTGCAGGAAGCGAGAGAGATGAGAGCTGAACAACAGTGTCGAGTGAACGCAGAGTTCATAGAAGGGCGACAGACGTATTTTCGGGTTGACGGGTAGTTAACTGTAGTGGAAAACTGTTGTACTCTACTGTGAGTAGGAGGAGACGGACGTCTTGCTGGTGTGTCAGAGAGGTCCCTTCTGCTGGTGTGCTGAAGTTATGTGTTCACATGATAGCACGTGGAGACGACGACTGTGAGTGCTGCTGCCGCGGCCTGCTGGTAGCCTTGACCCAGTTTCCTCCACTATCCCCTTGAACTGCCTGGAGGTGTGAGTACTGTTGTTTGCACGTGCTTTTTATTTTACTACTTGGCAACAAGTGAAGCGACCATATTGTTTTAGGTCCCAAAGCACCCGAGCCACTACTCAGGCCTGCAACGAGGGGTTTGCTAGCAGAAAGACTGTAGCACTTGAGGTGTGTGTGTGTCGGTGAGAGTGCGTGTGGGCCCACAATATTATTTGATTATTTTGTTTCTGTTCAGGTAGATGGCTTACCATTGTTTATCAAACTTTATTAATTTTACTTATTTTCCTTTGTGTTGTTGTTAACCAATTATTCACTAAAGTGGAGTTAACTTTATAATTGACCTGCTTGTGTGTGGTTTATTTCCATATAGTGTAGTTTTATTGCATATTTTATACCATAAGCATTAAAAAGGGAGTATCAGTAGAAAAGTAACAACAGGAACCCAGGGCCCCTCTCAATAGAATGTGGGATGGGTGTTACATTTAACTTTGCATTAAATGTAAGCAAAACAAAGATCATGTGCTTTGGAAAATGAAAACTAACTCATTAAGCATTGTTGCTAATGTATGGATAGAAAATACACTTGGGGTGTGAACAAAAACAGCTGGACGGCTCATTTTAGACATAAAAGCAAAAGAGCAAAGACTGTTGCATTGTTGGAAACACAAGTCTCATTCTGAACCATACTGCTTACTTATTTTGTCATAGTTGAATTAGTGTGTGGAAATATGGGGTAACATATACAAAAACACAATACCCATAATGCACATTCCAAAAAAAAGAGGTATGATACTTAATATAACTCCATATCTGGAGCACACAAACTCTATATTTTTAGGTCCAAACAAATGTCATAAATCTCTGGTACAGAGAAATATATAGATTAGAAGATCAAGTTGTACAGGAATTGAAAGAATAGTAAAAATAATTTTTTACTGACCTAAAGTGTCCACAAATATAGCTGTAGGTGTAAGCAGACTTGTAAGATTATTGACTATGTCTTGAAGTTTACTAGTCAGCACTCTGACACTGACAGCTACCTGAAAGTCAACATACTGCAGCGATGGGGATGTGGAGATGGTTCTGTAGAGAATGATGGAAAAATAACTTGTTATCGACATAAAAAAAAACATTACAGTACAAACAGTAAGTTTTATTTACTGTGCATATCTAATAAATTTTGTCAGTCTCCAAAAGTGTCTAAAACTGACATTATATTACATATTGCAAGGTCTCCAAAAAGTATTTGGACAGTCTCTTTGGAATCCTAAGATTAATCTTTTTCGCAATCACTTTTGTGCACCATGAAATGCAGAAAAGAAAATTAATGAATGCAGTTTTCAAGTGCTGTCCCCTCTATTGCCAGGGAACAGCTATTGACACTAGTCATCAGGTATGCACAGAGTTACTGAAATGATGAGAGTTTTACATAGAATTCTTTGGCATGGTTTCAGGGTTTCCCATCTACCAATCAGCTTTGAAGCTCAGGTCTCTGAAACAGCCCTGAAGACATTAGCTAACTCAGGTAGAATCATTTACAAAAAACTCACCTATAATAACTAACAGTTTAGTTGGTGACTATAAGTGGTGTCACAATAATAAGTGATGTTGTTTAAAAAAAAATAACATTGACGAAAAACAAACACAAAACCAAAAAGGTAACTTATATAACATATTTCTTTGTAAAATACAGTACCTTGGACCAGTAACGTTCACATACTGAATAGCATTCAGTTTTTGAAATTGGTTTCGAAGCTAAGAAAAGAAAAAGCATGACATCGTTGATATTTTTGTACTATGTAACAATAGAAAACATATTTATATTTATAGTTTATTTATAGAATAGTACAAATGTGAGGATGAGACATACCGTTGTGGTCTTGGTTGAATCCCATGCTGCAGTCTGTACTGATCCATTGATGAAAACTGTGTTCATTGTAAATATTACAGTTTGTTATTACTTTGGGTTTTATTTTGGTTGTCAAAGACAAGCATGCATATCAGCATGGGGACTGCTTTGAATGCACAGACTGGGATATGTTTAGAGAAGCTGCTACATACTCAGACACCGTGGACCTGGAGGAGTACACAATCTCAGTGACCAGCTACATCAGCAAATGCATTGAGGATGTCACTGTCTCCAAGACCGTGATCTGCAAACTATAAACCCTGGTTCTCTGCAAAGCCACGCAACCTGATGAAAATCAGAGACTCTGCCTTTAAGTCCAAAAATAGAGGAACTTACACTACAGCCAGAGCAGATGTATCACGGGCCATCAAAGACGCAAAGCGGCAGTATGCAGATAAGATCAACACACATTTCACAAGTACAAAGGACACTCGTCGAATGTGGCAGGGCATCCAAACAATCATGGGCTACAAGCCAACACCTCCAGCATGCAGCAGGGATCCCTCTCTGCCAGACCAACTAAATGACTTCTTTGCATGTTTTGAGGCAGAGAACAAAGAGCCAGAATAACAACCTGTCTCGCATTAGTCTTCTGAACATTTAGATGGTTGTTAACTTCAGGAAGACCTCAATGGCTCACACTCCACTGCACATCAACGGATCTGCTGTTGAGATGGTCAACAGTGTGAAGTTCCTCGGTGTGCACATCTCAGCTGACCTCTCCTGGAACCTGAACACCACCACCATCATGAAGAAAGCCCAACAACGTCTTCACTTTCTTAGGAAACTGAAGAAGGCCGGTCTCCTTCCTCCTATCCTCACATCATTTTACTGGGGAACCATTGAGAGCATCCTCTGCTGCTACATCACTATCTGGTACGGGAAATGCACCCTCGCTGAAAAGAAGTCTCAGCAGCAAATAGTGAGGAGAGCAGAGAGGATCATTGGAAGCCCTCTCACATCCATCTCCCAACTCTATGACAGACACATCATTCGACGTGCGAACAGCATAGTGAAGGACACTTTCCACTCCTCACATGCACTGTTCTCCCTCCTTCCATCTGGCAGACGGTTTCGCAGCATTAAAACTGTAATGACCAGACACTGCAAGAGCTTCTTCCCCCATTCAGTCATAGCCCTCAACTCACTACCACAAAAGGACTGATATAAACATACACCTCTACAAACACCTTACAATAATCATCAAAAGACTCAAAAACAACAAAAACTACCACAAATCCACTACAAACTGGTCCTGGGAACAATATTCTCATTTGCACACTCAGTCACATACTTCTGAACACACACCTAAATTCTTTAGGTGAAATCTTTACATTTTTGCATTTCGTACACGTCTTTGTCATGTCTCATCAATAATATCCTGACAATAGCTTGAAACTGGTATTCAATACCTACTGCACATTCTCTCAGTCCTGTCTTTGTTTATCTTTGTTTATCGTACAGGTAATATTGTATAGTTACCATTATAGTATTGTATAGAATTGTATAGTTAGTAATTAGTACTTTTTATCCCTTAATTTTTAACAAAGCTTAGCACGTTATTTATTTATAATTCCTAGTTTTATATCTCTTGGATATATATTCTTTATATATTTATAAATGCACCATAGGGGGCTTATGGTGGAACAGCATTTCAGTACACTGTATACTGTGAATACTACTGTATTGACAATAAAGCTCTTGAATCTTGAAAAAGTAGAAGAGTGAAAAGCAAAGGATAAACATAGCTGTATTCAACAGATTTGTACACCACACTTATTATAGTTTATATTAATTTAGTTTCAACTGGAATCCAAGTACATTTTCTCATTTTAATTTAGGTGTAATTGTTCAAAATGTTCAAGTTGTTACATTACTTTCAGTGTATGCTTTGTTTTTGATTAATTTATTTGTAACATAGGTGCTTTTTTCATGGCAATATTTTGGAAATTCAAAACAGTATCTTAATACTATTCAACAAAACAGACACTGTTGTCAAATTTGACCAAAGACATGTTTGACTATTGTTATATATTTTTTTTTAAATAAATAATATTGTTTATTTGCAAAAAAAGTACTTCTATTTTTAAGTACTTTTAATGCTTTCAACACTCATTTTAATGCAAATAGTTTAATTTTGCATTAGTTCTCTATAACACTGGTATACACTAAAACTTATTCCATATCATTAATCAACAGAATAGAAAAAATAAAATAAAAATAATAAACAAAAAAACAAACAAAAAAAGAGTTACACATTTCAGGAGATCTACCTTGAACTTTAGGAGAACAGAGGGGTGTGATGTAGGATACGTTTTTTTTGCAAGTAGCATCCCCGCAGCAGCTGTAGTTGTAGCACACTTCATTGCTCCAAAGATAATTTGTAGAGCAGTTGCAGTTCGTGTCAGTTCCAACAATGAGGCATTCTAGAAGTAAAAGAAAACATTCTTAATTCTCTGAGTTTTTTCTTTTTAGTTTTTTTATTTGAGGGTTAGGGCCACTCTGGATCATCAGAACTGTATGGGAAAATTTGACTGACACCTGCTTTCCTTCATAGTACAACAGTAGACAACATGTAATGTAAAAATATCTTGTCATGGTCCGTGGTCCTGTGTCTAAGGTGTCTGTGTGTGTGTGTGTTGGATGCCCTGGTGGCCACACCCCTGGGCTGGGCCATTACCGGCACACCTGCTTTCCATCCGGGGCGATTACCTTTTTTTTTTTATAAATTAGTGTGAAAATGAAAATAACTAAAATGACCATTTAAAGGTAATTTTTTAAACACACATCTACATCCCACTTCTGGTTTGGCAGAATCTGCAGATGCAGCTTGTAGCAATGCTCATGCAAATTCAGACCACACACCATTACTTCCACAGGCATGCTGAAATGATCTGTATGTAAACATGCCATGTTTTTTCTTGCAGTTTCAGTACAAAACTATCCAAGGCCTAAAAACTCTGTTTGCATTAGGAGTGTGTGTGTTATTTTGATAGTCTTGTGTTTCCTGTGCTTTGTATCGGCTTTTACTTCCCCTGTCTCATTTCCTGATTTGTTGCAGCTGTCTTCCTTGGTGTTTCCCATCTTCCTAATTATCTGGTGTGTATTTAAATTCTCAGCTTCCGTATGCTCTTTGTTATGTCCTCTCTTGCAGTTTTTTTTTTGTTGAGTAGTTGTTGATTTGGTTTCCTTGTTCCTGTACCTGCATTATTTTGTATTATGATTAAAGGACATGGGAAGTAAGTAATAAAACTGCTTGCAAGTTTATTTCTTACTTTCCAAGTCCTGTGTTCCTGCCTGCTTGCCAGAATGGCAGGCAGGAGTCTGACCTCATAATTCGTTTGTGGGTTACTATGTTTTTTTTTCTGTTGTTTTTTCTGTTGTTGTTGTTTTTTTGTTGTTTTTTTTTAACCCTGCAGTAGTTTTATGATTTAAGCTTTCTTTGTGTATTAAAGTCACCAGTGACCATCAAAAAAAAAAAAAAAAAAAAAAAAAGATTCTAGCCAATCATTTTACGTTTCCGAGGATAGTAGGCGGGGCCAGGTATGTGCGTTCTTTTAGAGCAGAGCTACAGATTAAAAATGGCCAAGGCGAAGCGGTCAAAAGTCTGGCTGTACTTCACAGCAAAATATGCAGACTCAGCAGCCTGCAACAAGTGCTTTAAGGTGATACTGTCAAAGGAGGTAACACCTGAAATCCGATGAAACACCTGGCGACGCATAGCGTTTTCTTTTAAAAGCCCAGAAATGCGCCGTATGATAGCTTGCTGCGAGACCTCACACCGAGCACATCTACTGTGCGTGGGTTGCCTGTTATCGGACCCGGAGTTAGCAATATCCCCCAAAAACCCCGAAGAGGAGAGTGCTGGCCCCTAGCCCTGCCAGTGTAGCAGAAATGATGATGGCAGCAGCAGCCGTTCTTCTCTGCGTGAGTAGCTTAATGTTGTTCATGTGTAATTTACGTTGCGTAGGCTAACCACGTTATTACATTAATGCATGTGAGGTGAACTAGCAAACACTATCATAGCTACATGCGGCTGTCTTCTTGTTTGATGGCAGATACTCCCTTCACCCTGGCCAAAAAGGCTAAAATGACCAAAGAAAAAGAGGGAAACAGATAAACATGAGAGGTTTTTGGACAAAGTGTTTTTTCCATTGATTAAGCACTGCTTCCAGCTAAGAGTGATACCATATATGCCCCATAGCTGCAGAAAAGGCTAACTTTGTTATCTTTTTACAAAAAACCAGCTGAACATGAGAGGTTTTGGGACCAATTTTGTGTTCTCCATTCTTTAAGCACCGGTTTGAGCACCGTTTGAGCACCGGCACCGTTTCAAAAGTACCGGTTTGGCACCGGTATCGGATAAAACCTAAACGATACCCATCCCTAGTCTCCAAAGACGTTTCAGAGAATTTGGCAGTACATCCAACTGGCCTCACAACTGCAGATCATGTGTAACCACACCAGGCCAGGACCTTCACATCCAGCATGTTCACCTCCAGGATTGCCTGAGACCAGCCACACGGACAGCTGCAGCAACAATCGGTTTGCATAACCAAAGAATTTCTGCACAAACTGTCAGAAACCATCTCAGGGAAGCTTATCTGCATGTTTGTCGTGCTCATTGGGGTTTGAACCTCACTGCAGTTCGTCGTTGTAACTGACTTGAGTGGACAAACACTCAAATTCAGTGGCATCTGGCACGTTGGAGAGGTGTTTTGTTCACAGATGAGTCCCGGTTTTTACTGTTTAGGGCAGATGGCAGACAGCGTGTGTGGGTGAGCGGTTTGCTGATGTCAACATTGTGGATCAGGTGGCCCATGGTGGTGGTGGGGTTCTGGTATGGACAGGCGTATGTTATGGACAACGAACACAGGTGCATTTTATTGATGGCATTTTGAATGCACAGAGGTACCGTGACGAGATCCTGAGGCCCATTGTTGTGCCACTCATCCACGACCATCACCTCATGTTGCAGCATGATAACGCATGGCCCCATATTGCAAGGATCTGTACACAATTGCTGGAAGCTGAAAACATCCCAGTTCTTGCATGACCAACATACTCACTGGACATGTCACCCATTGAGCATGTTTGGGATGCTCTGGATTGGTGTATACGACAGCGTGTTCCAGTTTCTACCAATATTCAGCAACTTCACACAGCTATCGAAGAGGAGTGGATCAACATTCCACAGGCCATGATCAACAACCTGATCAACTCTATGCGACGAAGATGTGTTGCCCTGCATAAGGCAAATGGTGGGCACACCAGACGCTGACTGATTCCCCCCCCCCCCCCTAAAGCAAAACTGTGCACGTTTCAGAGTGGCCTGTTATTGTGGGCAGTCTAAGGCACAACTGAACATTATTTACGCTGTCTAATCAGTAGTGATGTGTGGATCGATCCTGAAATATCGATTCCTCCGATACCAGTCATTTATGTTCTAGAATCGATTCTCACATTAAAATATTGATATTTTAGTAATTTAGAGTAAATTTGTAGTTTATCATTAACAGTAACAGAGTGGAAAGAAACTATAACATTCGGATTGTCTACATCCAAAGGAACTACTTCCTCTTCCGCCTTTCATAGTCATGTGCGAAATACGGCTGTATAAATGTCTCGCAGCCCCTTGGCGTGCGCAGCTGAGCGTAATTGGAGTCATGTGCGGACGTATTTTACCTCCACAAACAGCTGAGACGTGGTTTGCGATACATGTGGCAAAAAAGTGAGGTGTTGTGGCCATACTAGAGAGACATTCAAAAGGGCTGTTGGGGGGTGATAAATACATTTTACAGGGTTTATTTATCGGATAAAGTACATTAAATGTCATCGTTTTTATTATCGGGTTGGAAACAGCGGTGGTGTCCAAATTCAGAGGCTGCTTCGCGGTCTAAAGAAAGCCGGGTAGTATGTCATGAGCTCCCTCGGTGGAGTGAAACTCTGCTGTCTGCTCCTTGCTATCTGAAATATAACCGGGTGCTTGCGTAAACTCTGGACTGTCTCACACTTTGTTTAATTAGTTTTCTTTTTCGACGTTTATTTAGCTGTGTGAAAACCCCGGAGGAACCCTCCCATTAAATTTTATTTAATCTAATAACTTTAATCTCAGCCAAACCGATTTACTCACAAATAAAACACTGAAAAAGCCAAACAATAACATTTTTAAGTTATCAAAGTGACTTATATATCATGTTTAACCCGAGTAGTGAAAGACCGCAGGGGTTTGAAGACGATGTGTCGGTCGGCTCAGATATTTGACGTTTACAGAGCTACATTCTCATTCTTGACGCGAACTGAAGAGGAGGAGAGGGACAGGTGCTGCTAGGGCGAGACACACGTCTCTCACAGAGTCCTTTAGTGCTGCAGGCAGGCAAGGTGTTCAAATAGCACAACTTCAGTTTTTTATTTCTATATGATGAACTCTGCATTATTAAGTGATAAGAACAAGTAATCTGATGTCCTGTAATCATTATGATGCTATAATTTGAGATACAATAAATAAAATAAGTTTTTGTACAAGGTATCGGATCAGTATCGTCGATACCACCCTGAATATTACTTGGTATCGGATCGGAAAGGAAATCAGTGGTATTGCACATCACTACTAATCAGCCCCTTGATATGCCACACCTGTGAGGTGGGATGGATTATCTTTGTAAAGGAAAAGTGCTCACTAACACATATTTATAAAGATTTGAGAACAATATTTGAGAGTCATGGGTCTTTTGTGTATGTAGAATAATTTTCAGATGTTTGCATTCGGCTCGTGAAAAATGTGAGCAAAAACAAGTGTTGCGCTTATATATTTTTCCGTGCATTTATTCATCAATCTAAACTAGTAATCTTACATGAGTTTAGTAGAACTGACAAATGAGCACTTCCTGACAAAACCTGAAACAGTGCACATTGGTAATATTCTTTTATTAAAACAGAGTCCAGTCCAATAGTTTTGATTCTTGTAAGAAAAACATCAGTTATAGACAAATTGCAGTTAATATTACTGCAGCTCTGTTATGTTGAAGATAATGTTTAAGTAATCACAGCCTGATGATCCTTTTTTTTTAAAGGTTAGATTACACAATTTTATTTACTTGGGGATGCAATAATAACAGCTCTTCACACAACCCTCACACACCTGGACATTAGTAACTCCTATGTTGGAATGCTATTGGTGGACTTCAGATCTGCCTTCAATGCAGTTCAACCCCACAAACTGGTTAAAAAACTAAGCAACCCATGACTCAGCAGCTCACTGTGCAGCTGGATATTGGACTTTCTGAGCAACAGACCCCAGAACATCAGAATGGGAGAGCACACCTCCTCCACCCTCATTCTGAATGTAGGTGTCCCACAGTGGTGTGTCCTCAATCGCCTCTTATACTCACTTTTCACCCATGACTGTTCTCCAATCCACACCAGTAACACCATCATATAATTTGCTGACGACACCACCATCATAGGACTACAACAACGATGATTCAGCCTACAGAGAGGAGGTTCAGCATCTGAAGCAATGGTGTGACGACAACAACCTGCATCTGAACACAGCCAAGACCAGGGAGATGGTAATCGACTTCAGAAGAACAAAGCGATCGGGGCACTCTACCCTCTACATTGATGGGGAGGAGGTAGAAAGGGTAGAAAGCTTTAAGTTCCTCGGAGTCCACATCTCGGCCAACCTTACCTGGTCCATAAACATTTCCCACCAGGCAGGAAAAGCACAACAAAGGCTATACTTCCTCAGGGAACTACGTCAGGCCCAATTACCCCAGAGACTGCTAGTAAACTTCTACTGCTCCACCATCGAGAGCCTTCTGACCTACTTCTGCACACATCTGTTTCAACTGCTGCACCGCAGAGGACAAGAGGAAACTGCAGCGGGTGGTGAGGGCAGCAGGCAATCGGCACTTCACTAACCCCCCTCAGAGACATTTATACTGGCAGACTTCAGCAGAAAGCCAGCATCGTCATCAAAGACCCCATGCATCCTGGACACTCACTTTTCCCCCCTTCCCTCTGGTAAATGCTACAGGTCCATCAGGTCGAAGACAAACAGACTCAACAGAAGTTTTACCCACATGCTGTCCAACATGCCCTACCTCCACCCTGATTGGAGGATAACTGCACTGCCAACGCTCATGGACATTATCGGGGCGATTGTGGCTCAAGAGATGGGAGTTCGCCGGTTCGAGCCCCGGCTTGGACAGTCTCGGTCGTTGTGTCCTTGGGCAAGACACTTCACCCGCTGCCTACTGGTGGTGGTCAGAGGGCCCGGTGGCGCCAGTGTTCGGCAGCCTCGCCTCTGTCAGTGCGCCCCAGGGTGGCTGTGGCTACAATGTAGCTTGCCATCACCAGTGTGTGAATGTGTGCATGAATGGGTGGATGACTGGATATGTAAAGCGCTTTGGGATCCTTAGGGACTAGTAAAGCGCTATATAAATACAGGCCATTTACCATTACACCTTATTTATAAACCGTATTTCTATTTATACTTCAATGCAACCAACATCCCTACCTCTCTAAACTGTATTTATTATAACCTTATTTATTATAGTTGCAACAGCACCCCCCACTCAATGTGCAATATCACCCCCCACACACACACACACACACACACACACACTCGATGTGCAATATCACTGATCACACTGCACCTCTCAATGCACCTGCTCCTCAGATTATTCATTTATATATATATATATATATATATATATATATATATATATATATATATATATATATAGCGCTTTACTAGTCCCTACATGAATAGGATGAGGGACCTATGGATTCTTCGATACCCAACATCCACAATGACGGCGAAACAACTAGTAGTTCAGTGTTCCAACATTCGAAAGAAGGGACTGCTCTCACAGCTAGAGATTGACGAGGTACAACACAAATGCTACGGCAAGGAGGAGTCAGGACGCCAGGTCAGGGAGGCGATATCATCACCCCCACCCGAGATTGGGTACATAGCCCCAAGTGCGATAGGAGAAGGATCGTTGAGTGCGAGAGGAACTGACCTGAAAAATAGGATCATGGCCAAGCTTGAAACCTGGATCCCCCGTAGCCGGTTACCAAGATTACGTGAAGTACCCTCAGAAGGTCTGCTAGATGATGTTAATGCAGCACTACGGGCAATACCTACAACCACGATTACCAACACTAACAAGCTGATCTACAATACGGCAGCAGTGATCAGTGAGATGCTTGGCTACAAGTTGAACAGCCACAAGGGCAGTACCCTCCATGGAGAAGGAGGCTAGAGGGCAAGATCAAAGTAGCACGGAGGGAGGTTAGCCAACTAACGGAGTTGCAGCAAGGTGCGACAAATAAGGTGCCTAAGAAATACAGCAAGCTGTCCATACCTGAGGCCTTGGAAACTGCCAAGCAAAGACTCAGAGCCTTGGCCAGCCGCTTGAGGAGGTACACCAGAGAGATAGAAGGCAGGAGAATAAACCAGCTGTTCTCCACAGAACCAGCAAAGGTGTACTCTCAGTGGCAAGGGAACAATAAGAGAACAGCACCACCAAGGCTGGAGACGGAGCAATACTGGAAGCGCATATGGGAGAAGGATGCAACCCATAACGGCAATGCTCAGTGGCTAGAGGATCTGAGGGCAGACCACAGCGACCTCCCTGAACAGGGTCCAGTAACCATCACAGTGGCAGATATCCAAGAAAGGGTCTCCAGTATGAAGAGTTGGACAGCACCAGGGCCCGACATGGTTCACGCCTACTGGCTGAAGAAGCTGACTGCACTCCACGAGCGTCTGGCAGCACAAATGAACCAGCTGCTAGTTAACGAGAGACACCCGGAATGGCTAACCGAAGGTCGGACGGTCCTGATCCCCAAGGACCCCAAGAAGGGACCGGTCCCCTCAAACTACCGACCAATAACCTGCCTCAGTACTACATGGAAGCTCCTGTCAGGCATCATATCGGCTAAGATGAACAGGCACATGGGTCAATACATGAGCGGGACACAGAAAGGAATTGGCAAGAATACCAGAGGCGCAAAACACCAGCTACTGGTAGACAGAACAATCAGCCGAGACTGCAAGACCAGACTGACCAACCTGTGCACTGCCTGGATTGATTACAAGAAGGCCTATGACTCAATGCCCCACAGCTGGATACTGGAATGCCTAGAATTGTACAAGATCAATGGGACCCTAAGAGCCTTCATCAGGAACTCAATGGGGATGTGGCGTACAACACTAGAGGCCAACTCCAAGCCCATAGCACAAGTCACCATCAAGTGCGGGATCTACCAAGGAGATGCTCTGTCCCCACTGCTGTTCTGCATAGGCCTGAACCCCCTCAGTGAGATCATTAACAAGACTGGCTACGGATACCGACTACGGAACGGAGCAGTTGTCAGCCACCTCCTGTACATGGATGACATCAAGCTGTATGCCAAGAGTGAACGAGACATCGATTCACTGATCCACACTACCAGGCTATACAGCAATGACATTGGAATGTCGTTCGGACTGGAGAAGTGTAGTCGGATGGTATCAAAGAGAGGGAAGGTAGTCAGAACTGAGGGGATTGAACTACCAGAAGGCAACATTGCAGACATAGAGGACAGTTACAAGTACCTGGGGATCCCGCAGGCAAATGGGAACCATGAAGAGGCCGCTAGAAAGGCTGCAACCACCAAGTACCTGCAGAGGGTCAGGCAAGTCCTGAGGAGTCAGCTGAATGGTAAGAACAAGATCCGGGCCATCAACACGTACGCCCTGCCCGTGATCAGGTACCCTGCTGGGGTAATAGGCTGGCCAAAGGAGGAGATAGAAGCCACTGACATAAAGACAAGAAAGCTCCTTACCATGCATGGAGGGTTTCACCCCAAGTCCAGCACCCTGAGGCTGTACGCTAAGCGGAAGGAAGGGGGCCGGGGACTGGTGAGTGTCAGCACCACAGTCCAGGATGAGACAAGGAACATCCAAGAATACATTGGGAAGATGGCCCCAACTGACCGAGTGCTCAGTGAATACCTCAGGCAGCAGAAACCCAAGAAAGAGGAGGGAGACGAGGAACCATCATGGAAGGACAGGCCCCTGCACGGTATGTACCACCGGCAGATAGAGGAGGTGGCTGATATCCAGAAATCCTACCAGTGGCTGGACAAAGCTGGACTGAAAGACAGCACAGAGGCACTAATCATGGCAGCACAAGAACAAGCTCTGAGTACAAGATCCATAGAGGCTGGGGTCTATCACACCAGGCAAGACCCCAGGTGCAGGCTGTGTAAAGATGCCCCAGAGACAATCCAGCACATAACAGCAGGGTGCAAGATGCTAGCAGGCAAGGCATACATGGAACGCCATAACCAAGTGGCCGGCATAGTGTACAGGAACATCTGTGCCGAGTATAACCTGGAAGTCCCGAGGTCAAAATGGGAGATGCCCCCAAGGGTGGTGGAGAATGACCGAGCTAAGATCCTGTGGGACTTCCAGATACAGACGGACAAAATGGTGGTGGCTAACCAACCGGACATAGTGGTGGTAGACAAACAGAAGAAGACGGCCGTAGTGATCGATGTAGCGGTTCCGAATGACAGCAATATCAGGAAGAAGGAACACGAGAAGCTGGAGAAATACCAAGGGCTCAGAATAGAGCTCGAGAGGATGTGGAGGGTGAAGGTAATGGTGGTCCCCGTGGTAATCGGAGCACTAGGTGCGGTGACTCCCAAGCTAGGCGAGTGGCTCCAGCAGATCCCGGGAATAACATCGGAGATCTCTGTCCAGAAGAGCGCAGTCCTGGGAACAGCTAAGATACTGCGCAGGACCCTCAAGCTCCCAGGCCTCTGGTAGAGGACCCGAGCTTGAAGGATAAACCGCCCGCAGGGGCGTGCTGGGTGTTTTTATATATATATATATATATATATATATATATATATATATATATATATATATATGTTTGTATATATGTGTGTGTGTGTGTATATATATATGTATATATATGTGTGTGTATGTATGGTATGTACGCATGCATACATGTGTATAGATATATGTATGTTTGTGCGTGTATGGGTGTATCCGTATATTTGCAGGTGTATGTATAACTTGTACATATCTTTCTTGTGTAAATGTAAATTTGTCTGTTATTGTGTAAATACTTACGCTATTGTGTACTTCACATACATGGAAAAATGCCAAACAGCCTTTCACTATTCTTGTAACAGTGACTATAAAAGCTATTCTATTCTACTTCAAAAAAATTACAACTTAACAACAAATTCAAGAAAATGTTCCAGAAACATACCTGCTACCAGTTCAGTGTTTATGATTTGTACTGTTTGTTTGCTCAGTGAGAGGTTTGTTGAATTGATAGCTGACAGGACAGTTTGGGCATCCAGTGTGACATTACTCTCCACCATTATCTCAGCGCTGTAGATATCTTAAATAGGAATAAGATTTGATATATGTTATTATTTTGTGTGATTAGCAACTTATTTGAATAGAAGAGGTATTTGAGAAATAGAATAAATGTAAAAATTATATTAACTACATGATGAATTATTGTGTTCAATTTAGGAATTCAGATTTATTGGGATAGTAAAAGGTAGATTTTGGTTCTCATCATTACTTGTGAAATACCTAAGGCTTACTAATAAAATAAACTAAAATACATTATTAAATAAACTTAGCTTAATCAATGTGATCACCTTCAACTCCTCCTTTTTACCTTACTGGCTTACCTTGTGCAAGGACCTGCAATGGCAAAACCAGAAAAATGACAAAATAACGCATTCTCAAAAACTAACAATTCAATGTTAAGATAAATTAAAGTACACAAATCATATCTCCATAAACGTGAATATATGGATATACTGTGGAGTTGAGATTTGGAATAAAACAGGTTGAATTTTCTACATTAAACTAGTATATAACACACAAGAGTAAAATATAATTAACATTTAACTTGAACCTTGATTGGTAAACTGTACTCCTATACAAAAAAGTACCCCATTAGACTGAAGAGGGTTCTCTACCTGGTAGTAGATGTACACAGCTCCGGTCAGAAAAATGAAAACCTTGGAATACATTTTCATCACCTGGAAAAAAACACAAGTTATGACAAGCTGAGAAGAGAGATACTCAATGAAGAACATACATAAAGTACACAATTTATCCAAGGTACAGCACATGGATGCATAAAGAAATACTGGTCCTATTTGTAAGGACATTAACACTCTCACAACTATTATTGTGATTTGCTATTATAAATAAAATGGAACTCAATTGAAAGTGTCAGAACTTAAAGTGTCGGGAAGTATAATCACTAAGCTAGAACTCTGTTTTCTGAAGCCAGTAAAAGCACCGGATTCAAAAGTGTGCAAAGGTAGAGGTTTTAAAACCAAAATACTGAGCTGAAATGCAGTATAAGACTTCACCTGTTTCTATTCCTACATGTGCTTATTGAAATCTCACTATAAAGTTTTGTCTTTTTATTAACTGTGTCAGCACTGGGTCTCCCATATATTTAACTATGAGTCTCAAACTATCTTGAACTATTTTTGTCTTTAGCTTCCATAACACTCTTATCAGCTGCTATCTGCTTTCCATTCCAAAGTACAGGAAGCTTGTATTTAGCTAGGAAAAACCTGTTTGCATCATTTTGCATGTTGGCTATGAATACAAACAACAAGTTGGTGGTTTTTCTTTTAACAGTGCACTGTTCATTCCTGTCCACACCAACGGTAGGATAGCACCACTGTGTACACAAAGCCCGGTGATGCGGTATAGCTTATGCCCACATTATTTTCTTGTTGAGTCAAAGACACGGCCGATGTGTTTGGTTCAGCAATCGTAATGTATCATAAATATTGATAATTTAAAAACACATTTTTTTTAAATCCAGAAACAGAAATGTATGCACCAAACCATGTTATAAACTAAAAAAAAAAAAACCTAAACTAATCAGTGAACTGAATAGATATAAAACACAACTTGTTCACCTACTGTGATTCTACTCAACTTGATGAAATCACAAAGTATTTTCAGTTCAGTTATTTGGCTTGTGGAAGGGAAGATCCTGTTAACAAAACAGAGGTTAAAGGGTTTCTTATCATAGGAATAGCATATTGTGATACTGAATGGTAATGTATCTCATGACAGCCATAGCATGCTGGGGGCTTCTATAGCAGAAACATAAAGAGATTCACATTTAAAGGTTTAACTATTACAGGATTTATGACTTTTTAGATTATGTTAAACTATGATTATTTAACATCTTAAGAACCACAAAGGTCAGGGATAGTGTTTTGGTAATATGCATTTTTTAAAACTGATATATCCAGATGGAGACATTGACAACATAAAACCTGAAAGGCTACAATATATGAAACTTAATTTGAAATGTCAGAAACTTTTAACTCCAATAATTTAATACAAGAGGCAGACTTGTGTGTAGTTCAGTCAGGTGGTAGTGAGAGCTCACCTCTGTTATTTTCCTTAAAAAGATACAACAATCTAAAGAAATACACAAATAAAACATTCTTACCTTTGCTGCACTCTACACAAAAATGATTGTTAACCCATTAACTTTGCTTCAATTAACAAACAACACTCCATGTCTATCAGACACCGATCAGATTTCCAGTCAAAGTGAGTGAGCAAATTGCTTATGAACACTAAGTTACACTGAACAGAGGGTGTGTGTTAAGGGTAGTGCGTATGCGTTTGGTTGGGAGGGGATGTGTTACGGGACACATTCCCTCACAGATAGTGCTGTTCTGGCTTTGGTTTTGAAAGACCATTTGCATTGATGGCATCTCTCCATATGTGTCGAGCCTTTTGACTTTCCATGAATATTTGTCTAACAAATCGAGCATTCTCCTTCAGGAGGTCAGAGCGCAACTGCCTGCCTCATAAAAAAGCTCAGTGTCTGTGTGTGTTGTGTGACAGGGATGATTCTAATGTATATAATATAAAACAAGCATTGAACAAACTAATAAATGCTGTAGTGAGAAATGTCTTTTTTCAGCTATCTAGAGTTAAGCCTTTGATCTTTTGCCTTTGGCAAGAAATCAAAGAGATTTTTGCAATGCACTTTATGTTGGTGTTGATTCAAGCCACCACTTTAATGCTGCTCCCCATTTGATGCAGGGACACAGAAACATTACAGTGGTTTCCTGTATGGAGTACCATAATGTGAAAACAATATGTTAGAATATTACACAGTAGCACATTCTTTTGGGTTGTAAGAGACATAGTTCAGTTTTGGAGGATGGTTAATTTTGTCACCAATATCCATCGATTTACTCATCCATCCATCCTTCACTTATCCAGTTTTACATTGGTAAAAGATGTAAGGATATCACTCACAGACTGTGGTGTTATGGCAGCAGCAAAGTTTACTTACACTAAAAGGAAACTAGACTCACCAAACCCAAAAGGCTAACCCTTGAATGCAAAAAAACCCCAGTATCATAGAAACATTTCAAAAATTGTACTATTGTATTATCCAGCTAGGGTTTACAAAGTTATCTATGTATTTAAAATCTATAAATGTTCACATTTATGGTTTTCTTCATTAAAAATCATTTAAATACATCTATTAAGCTTTTGCAGGGCAACAAACCATTTTACGTCATACCTGAAGAAGTGGGTGAAATTCATGGAAAGTTTCTTTTCAAGTGTGCACACAAGGTGCGTGCATACAGTCACACATCTGCTTTTTGCATTTTGTTAAGACTTCCTCACTTATTTAAATATTTCAAATTAAGTGGGAGCATCCATCATGCCAAGGGCGAGCCAGAGGATGATACACAAATTAAAGGTGATGATGTATCCAAAACAGGAAATACCTCTGATCTTATATCAAAAGCGTAAAGACCAGTCATAATCTGTCTTTTTCACTTTTTATATTTTCCTGCTGTTCTTCAGGATTGCAAACTAATGCATATTGCGTATTTGCACATCAGCAAACATGATGTAATGAGCTTTGAGTCCCTTTTAGCACATTTGGGACAATTCCCAAAGAGATCCTAGCCTAAATCTTGCCAGAAAGAAATGACAGGAGTGTTTACATCATTTGCAGGAGATGAACCATGAATGAAAATCATGTGGTTGTGAAAATGCCATCTCCAAAGAAGGGAAACAGAGAGAAAAGACTAAGGCATGAAACATTTTAAAAAGAACTGCAGTATGGCCTTATGGACTGATTAAACCAAATTTGAAAATTTTGGAGTCTTTCTCAGTAAGTACAGTGGTGGTCAGGAGAACAGTAAGCCTAACTAAAGGCATCTGCTATGATGCTCACACCTCTGATAAGGTTTCACATGTATCAGTACTGATAAATGATCAGAATTATAATATTTCTGACTGTCTGAGGCAAAATTGAATCGAATCGGGACCTTGTGAATCGGAATCGAATGGCTTGTAGAAATCAGTGATGATACCCAGCCCTAGTGAGCAGCCTAGGCCCAACAGAAGTGGATATAGCTGTGGTTAATAAGAAAAGATGAAAAGGACTATTGATAAATTTTTTGATCCTTCTGAAATTCATAGCCAGTGCTCTGACACGGAGCCATCAATCGTTGAACGCTGAAAAAGCAGTGTATCCAGAAAATACATTATATGCTGCAATAAACGCACTGCCCAAGTGTCCCCTCTCTCCACTGACTTTAAGCGGCAGGCAGCAGCAGCAAACAGGTCATCAGAGGAGGCTGATGTGATGATTAAGTATAACATTGCCTTACAATATTGTCAAAGAGTGCCAACGCACTTTAAGCACAAGCAGTTTTTCAGTAACTTATCTTTCTGGTAGAAATGTGCTCCAATTTTGCATTGAAAAGATTGTTAGGTTAATCATTTACAAATTAATAGTGTCTGTATGGACAGCAATTTCTCCCCCTTAAATGTGCACACGTAAAACTGGGCACAAAACGTGTTAAGCGATCGTGCTGAAAAATTTTGGTGCACCTAACCATTGTGCTGGTGCGCCTAAGGAAAAAAGTTAGGCACACCAGTCCAACCATGGCAAAAAGTTAGTCTAGAACCCTGACTTATGTAATACAATCTGAAAAGCATCTGATTGGCAATAGATAATGGTAGGTGCTACATTTCTTATCATATTGGCATTAAAGCAATTAACATTAAGACAGACAACAACACTGGTGAAAGGTACGGGTCTGATCAGTGCTGTATGCCACAAGAAGTATTTGACATTCAGTGAAGCACTGGGATGAGTAGAAATGGCTGTTTTTTCAATTTCTGATCATTAAGGAGGGCAATTCCTTATTTTACATGCTGGGGTTCAATTTCACTGGTAGGCCCACCCAAGTCTGTTTGTCATTGTGATGTTAACCCTTGAATAAATAAGTTCACTGATCCTTTTCAGAAAAGCTTTGCCAACTGATTTGTTTTGCAAAGCAAAACAAAAGAAGATCAGTTTTGCATGTACTTCAAGGACAATGTTGTTTTAGAGTTACATAACGAAGAACATTATCTGTAACATGCATTTAAAAACAGAAGAGTGTTTGTGATACTATGAGTATGAGAGTGTTTGTTTGAAAATGCATCGCTTTCTCTCTGTTCTGTCCTCCCGTCTACACTGAGATGTCGTTTTCCCCAAGGAAAAATGCAGTGTTTTGAAAACGCATCATGTGATGCAGTCATGTGACCAATTTCTTCAAATTCTTTAATACTCACTGCCTTTTGCACATGCGCAGGACTGGAACGTAAGAGTTTTTGGCTGGTTCGATGTGGACGCACAACTGTGTGAAAACGACTGAAAATACTAGTGTGGACGTGGAGCGTTTTCAGACGAAAACACCGTTTTCGGGGACATTACAGTGTAAACTTGGTTCTTTTAGTGAAAGACTATCTCTCCACACTGTTACATATTCCATATGTACGGGGGTACGGGCCGGTTAGGGGAAATCAAATTTGGGGTTAGGGGGGGATCTCAAATTTGGGAGCACGGACCCCGAAGGGGGCCGGGCTCCGAAGCACAGACCGTACCTGCTCCCGTCTCAGGTGTCCAGGATTCCCGAAGCATGACCCAGAGGAAATTTAAAGTAGAATCCCGTGGATGGGGGGAGGAGAGGTAAAGAGGAGCAGGGAAAGGATAGGGGGAGGGGACTGAGCCTGCCACCTCTGTGAGGCAGGAAATGCACGGGCCATCCCTCCTGAAGGAAACCCACCCTGCTGGTTGTCACGATTACGGGAAAGCCTCCATCTTTTCCCGTATCGGATGACGGTCCAACCTGCGGAGGTCATCCGTTCCTCAGTCTTTGGCTACTTTTTGCATTTGTGTTGTTGTGTTGTATGTTTTGTATATTGTTATAGTTTTTGTGATGTGGGTTCGCCTTTGTTATCTAAATAATTATAACTCTTATTTGAGCTTTTATGTGGCGAGATACAAATGCAGAAAATGAAAGGGAAAAAAAGGAAAAGAATAAAGAAAAATTAAAACAAAAGCTTTTATTAATTAAAAACGTTCAAAAAATAGTGTGCCGTACGTGCAACGTTTCGACCCCTCAAGGGTCTTCTTCAGGCGCTTGGCACACAAAAAAACTGCTGCGAAAATGTGGCTGTAATGCACAGTGCTGCAGCTGGTAAGAGATGTTCACTCGTCAATGCTTCAAATCCAAATGAACCCCAAGCTGACTCCACCTCCCTTTATACCCTTCTGTCTGTGAATGTTTTTTCTTTTGTCAATCCCTTTCCAATTCTGTTTTGTAAAATTTGTATTAACCTTCTGTATGTGAATCCTTTTCACCATTGCCATTAAATATGAACTGGAAACATTGTACAATAAACTTCTTAATATTTAATATTTTTAACTGTATTTGGTTTTTGAGTAAGAAACAGGCCACCAGCAAGCTGGTAGATTGGCGTGCACGTACCATCGATGGGGCTGGTGTCCCTGCCCTGGTTCAAAAAATTACCAATTTCTAGTGTTTAGTGCACTTCATTGGGCCTTCGCTGTCACGGTATGGCATGGCAAACCGTGGAAGGAGTGGGGAAGGAGGACCCAGGCGCGGTGCTCTATGTATAAACAGTGTGTTTATTTACAGTGTGAAACAAAGTAACAATAAATCCCCGTGTTTTCCCAGACTCCCGTGTCGTGTCTCTCCGTGAATAGTCCGTGTCTCTGTGCTCTCCGCTCCCGTGTCAGCATCCCCCGGTGCTCGCTGCTCTCATGTCTTCCACGCTCCTCCTGCGGGAAACAATAGACGCAGGCGTCAGGACACATACAACTGCGGGCATACACACACACTAACTCATTCAACGGGACGACTAACGTGGAGCCTCAAGGAAATGATCCCGCGTCGGTGGGAGCTCCAACTCTCTCCTAAGTAGCTCCCCCGACGAGGCCTGATCAGCAGCAGGTGTGTGGCTTCGGGTGTGGCCAGTCCCTCCGCAGGGCCACACCCCTCAGGCCTGCAGGTGGCCGAGCTCCATCCTCCAGGCACACCCGCAGACATACACACCCATACCTTGCCCAGTCCCAGGACCCTGACATTCGCGACGTTTCGGCGTAGTTTCGCCTTTCTCAGGCTGGCCCAGTGTGTTTCTGACTGGGGTTAGGGAATGAAGACTGACTCCTCCCCCCTCTTTCGAAGGCAGAAGCACGTGCACGGTCCATCCCCCAGGTGACCAGTTGCTGCTGGAAGTTGGACCGCCCAGGACGCCGCTGGCGCCTCCCACGACGGACCACCGTCCAACAATCCTCATTATCAAAAAACGCCATCGAGCCCGATAGACTTTTTAATGTGTTTTTGTTTAGTTATGTAGTGTGTTGACTTTTATTATTGTGGTATCACCTTTGTTATATATTAATAATGTCGCCTTTGGTATCTAAGTAATCAAAAAGTAAGAATGGTAAAGAAGAAAATAAAATGAAATAAATGCTTTTTGTTTTTCTGTTATTTATTAGTTTTGTATTTATGAATTTAAACAAAATGAATTAAATTAAATTAAATTAAATCAAATTTTAGTTTGTGCCGCCGCGACGTTTCG